GAGAGGTTATTTTGAGTAGCGTTGGGTGCCTTTGAGTGGCGTGTGTTGACACTGACCTCTAGTGGGAATAGATCCCTATCTATTTTTTCCCTGCAATTTTAACCATTTTAAGTGAGACATCCTTACTGGGACTGGGGAGGGCCCAGAATTAGAGTTTCAGGTTTAAAATCCTCAAAAGCAAGTCAGAATATAAATATTGACCTCATATTATATTTAAATGTTTGTATTCCTGCTACCACTACCTGCCAATACATTACGTATAGATATGTATTATGTATGTGTGTGTGCATATGTATATGTATATCTCTCTGTATTTAAAGCCTCCAAAAATAATGTAAGTCCAAAAACTTCACGGCCAGGCAGAAAAACTCTCTGGCAGGAAGACAGCATGAAACAGAGCCCAAGGCTTGTCGAATGAGTGACAGAAGGCAAATAACGAGGCAGAGTGGCCAAGTTCATCTTTCAGACTTCCCACTCAAGTTGTCTGAAGGGACAGTAGAAGGACACGCAGCAGGAAGAGAGCTGCCAAGGAGATGATGCCTGAGCTCGGTAAGAGCAGGTGTAGTTGGGAGGTGAGAGCACAGAGTGACTGGACCTGGGTGCCTGGGGGACTGTAGCTGATTTTAATGGGCAGTGCCCGGTCCCCACAGCTCAGCTGCAGCAGACGGCTGCAACACAGCCCTGGGAGAGCAGTAGCCAGCTCACGAAAGTTCAAGGCTCACCTTTGGGAAGCTGCAAGATCAGTAGCTCCAGCTAAGTGCACATCATCAGCAGAGGAAGGCCACTTCCACGGGCTGCTTGGTAGCCAGAGATGTAGACAGCTTGATGTGGACTGGACCGTAGAGTCCCAGGTGGTGGAGCCTCCCTGCAAAGCTGGTCCAGGGCTTACTATCTCTGGCTTTGTGCTTTGGCTGAACCACTCCTGGACCTGTGGTAACCCTGGAAGTAGGCTCCACACCTATGCCACAACTGGAACAGGACATCACAAGATAATCAAGGGGTGACTGCCACTTGCTGCAAAGCCAAGCAGCAACTAGTTCACAGAAAAGTGAAATCTTTGTGCATCACCACACAGGTGGTTGTGGGACACACCGCAAATCAGGTTGCGCTGATTTAACCAACGTGTATTTCTCCCAATACTTGATTTCATCCACATAAATGTCTGTAAGAATTCATTCCATGATGGAGCTCTAGCAACATCTAGTATGTTACCTTAGAAAATGACAAAGGCATTTGATAGGTAACTTGGTACCAATTGGGTACAAGAACATCAGCTGCAGATGCACATGGAGCTGGGATGCAGCCATCACCAGAGTGGGAGAGGGACTGACATGAATATACGGCCCAGATCCCTGCCCCATGTTTGACAGAGCTGATAAGATGTGGGAGAGGCTCCTTTCCCTCTGCAATCATAGTCTCACATTCAGGCAGTGCCAGGGACACAACAGGAGATACTGAAACAGATCCCAAGCGTGGGAGGAAAACTTGTGACTGGAAGTTATTGACGCCAACAGAGATTTCCCCTGCCTGCCTCCTGCTGCCCTCACACCCCAAAACCTTTCCTCCTGCCTGGCGAGCGGCACTTTTTGTGGGTAGCTCACGTGCAGCACGGCTGTGGTTGAAGGCCTAGTGGCCAGTGCTGGGGGAGTGACGCAAACCTGAAGCAGCAGCTGCAGCGCAGGAGGGGGAAGTCATTGGCACTTTGCATGTGGTTTGAGTGAACTCAGTCCCGTACCCACCACCAAGCTCTTCCCAGGTGAGCTCCCTTGCAGTGTGCGGCAGGAAGAGATCCTTCCCCTCCTGCTGGGCTGAACTGGAAAGATGGGCACCCTTCAGAGGCAGAGAGGCACATCAAGCAATAAAAACAACAAGTGAAACTGATTTTAAAGTGTCACATGCATTCAGAGCTGTCTAGGTTGTCTTCTGATGGAAGTCCACTGCTTGGGACACTGGAAAGTAACAAGATGAAGTCTACGCAGATCCATGAGGAACACAACTGGGTTGTTTTGATGTTGGAAGGAGAGCACTGAAATGCAGCCTGGTCAATCATTCACCGGCAGAGAGCTGGGCCTTCCTTTGAGCTTCCATTTTCAGCTTTGATCTCTGTGTCCTGGCTGTTCTTGTGTGAGCCCCGACAGCCGCTCTGGGCTTTGGGCTTTCTCTTTGCAACACCGAAAGGCAGTTGTACAGCGGACCAAGTTGTACTTGGCTGGACCAAGTGAGTTGTACAGCCCGCTGTAGTGACCACTTGGCCTTTCCCTTTGCCTGTGCGGGCAGGAGAGACAAGAAAGTGTCTCAGGGGCTGAAACAGGTTAAACCACGCACACGGGGAAAAGCCAACGTCTCGTTCGCACCTATCTCTGCTACCAGTAAGGACATCCACCATACCGTTTCCCACAGAGCCTGCGGCTTCAGTCAGCACCTGCGCTCGAAGCAGCATCCTCACCCACACGCCAGCCGGTTTGACAGGCGCCCTCTCCCACCCCTGGCAAACCCTCCTGCTATTTAAAGAACCCAAACAAACAGGAGGCAGCTCCGGGACACACCGGCACCTACTGCCCGGCGTAAGGTAGCACAGCGCGGGGCCACCCCCCCTGCGCGCTCCAGGCTGCCGGCCCTCGCCCACGCGTGGCGTGCCCACGGGTGTGTTTTCTCCTGCGCCCCCGGACAAAGCGGGAGGCGGGGGAGAGGCAGCCCCCTCCCCCCAGTTTAGGGGGTGCCGGGGCGGCGGCGGAGGGGGGGAATCCCGGGCAGGCGGGGCCGGGCGCGGCTGAGTCAGAGCGGGCAGAGG